GACGGGCGTATACTTTTTAATGATGACGACACAGCGAGGGAAGAGGAGTGTGTGTTCACGATAAATGTAGGACAGTCAAATTTAACTATTTCTCTTTACATTTCATCGTATCGTTTTTTGGGTCCGGGTATATCTAATTACCTTAAGGTAACTCGGTATTAACAATGCCATCTGTCGTGCTAATAATCTCAATCACAAATTTTATTCCAGGTGTACGACGGACCGACCGTTTCATCGCCATTAATAACCACGTTAGAGGATATGCGTTTGATCCCTTCTCCTATATTTTCAACTGGTTCGACGTTAACGATGGCGTACAAAACGTATCCAAGTTCAGGGTTGCTTGACATGAGTTATACTTCCACCGACCGAGGTGCGATCCTAAAAGTCTATAATATTGATATTAAGTGTTTCCGAGTGTGTATTTTACTGACACGTTGTATTAAAATATATAGGCAGAGGCTGCGGTGGTAAAATGTTTAATGTCAAAGGTACGGTGACAAGTCCAATGTATCCGAACTTATACAGAGTGAGCTCCACTTGCAGGTGGGATATTGCAGTACCCAGACCGAATTCAGTCAATATTTCATTTAAAAGTATGTAAAATATAAATATTGTTAACTACTCGTGCGTGTAGATGAAAATAGCAGCTTAACAGTCGTAAAATGTGTAAATATATTGTATAAACAACTACATATTATATTATATTATTAGCAAAAGCAATATTTTTAATCAATTGAAAATAAATAAAGAAATCTCTTATTGTGTTCCTTTCAAACTACCAGCTCAATAATATGTTGTTATGTGGTTTGTTCTTTAAAATTTAGTATTTAATCTGGGTACGAGAAAGACATGCAACACAGATTACTTAGAACTGCACGACGTCGATCAGATCACTGGAGTGTCGTCGTTTGTCGCTAAATACTGTGGTGGAGTGAGTACTATAATAATATAGCTGTTAATATAGTTTTCGTATCCGTAACAATATTAATACCATGTCACTATATATATTATGGTTACTTAGGTAGTTTTATTCGTTTGTTTAGGATACTCCAGCTACGCACACCAGCCAAACGGGAGCAGTTTTCATTCGTTACGTGACAACCGTACACAACGCCGGCACCGGTTGGGTATTGCATTTCGAATTAAATCATAATAATCCCTAAAATAGATGTAATACATATGGAATAATTTTTTAGCATGAGAAAAAAATAAAATGTAAATAAAGGCTTCTTACGGTTTTTAAAGTATTAACAGTGTTATTTTTTATGATTAAAGTATTTAAATAGTTCATATATTCTTCTTCTTCTCCTTCTTCTTCTATAAGGATTCAACCTTTAAGATCAACCCTCTTAACAAATGTACCACCATCTAATTCTATCCATTACTAATTTTATCCGCAGTCTGTTAGGTTTTACTGCTTCTACCTCCTTTTCAATTATGTCTTCCCATCTAAGGTAGCTTGACCTACCTAACGGTGATTTTCCAACGGGTTCTTCCTTAATGAACATTTGTATGTATATAAATATTAGTCATCCCTTTCCAATGTCTCTTATTATATCTGGTGGCTGAAACAGATTCATTAGCTCCTCATTGTGGCGTTTCCTCCATTATAACGTGCTGGAGTTGATACGAGGTTCATAAATTATTTTAAGTATTTTCCGTTAAAATACTGCGAGTCTTGTTTCTTCATTTTTTTTCAAAGTCCATGTCTCAGATCAATATAAAACTACTCGTCATACCAGCGTTATGTAAAACTGAACTTTAAGTTTGCATCTCCATTCAGACTTAAAATATCATACACAGCACAATGTACCATATAAACCATAGCAAGTGATATCACATGAACTATGAGTACCTAATTAATATTATGTTATGAAGTTTTGAAATTATGAGTAGTAAAATACCTATTTAATGCAGTAATTACTTCGCTTTAAATTACTTAATATCTGAGTAATCGTATCATGCTGTTGATGTTATACATTTTTAATTGATTAAAAAAAAAACATTAAAAAGTAACAACTGCCGAATCCTAATTATAACTTTGAAAAAAGCTATGCCTACCTAAAGCACATCACTATGAATTATTATAATTAATTACTTTTATCAAATATTATATGATATAATATGTACTGTTAATAAATAGTAACAACTGTCTGGTATGCATTGTAATACTTATAACTTATAACTTATAAGTTATAAATATAAGTATACGATTAGAAATCAAGATGCAGTATGCATTGACATGCTTGGAAAGTTGGATACAACCAAACTATAGAGATTGGCATGAAATTCGAATATCTGAATTATCCGAATACTCGGGCATCGAAATCGGTGATACCCGAATGAGCACGGTCGTTATCGGCCTACCTTTTAGACGACCCGATTGAGCACGATATAAAAAATATATTGTGTACAACGTTGTCAGATTTTCACTATTACCTACGTACGTATGGTATGCAGCTGAAAGTTTCCACAGGACATACAATTCCCAATTTTACAAGGCACATCCACATATACATTTGGTTATTATAGGGTTACAAGAAACTCAGGCTGAAACGATCACGAAAATTCAATCCATAGCAAGTAATAATCATAAAAAAATTAGTCTTATCGAAAACCAAAAAATAAACTTCACTATAAAGGCTTATCAGGAGTACTCTGAATTATAAAATGTTGATAACCTACTTAAATACTTATTTAAAATTGGAAATAAGGATTTAGGAAAAAAAATTTTAATTTTAATTTTTTAATTTATTTTGATTGGTATTTTTCAACATTTTTTTTATTTAATTTTTTTTATATTATATATTTTTATATTCAGTATTTAGCGGAATAAATTGTAATTGTAATATAATATAATATAATAAACTAACTGACGTACATATGCAATTATATGGGATTAAAATCCAATAAAAGATTTTTATTTTTAAACATTTACATTCAAATGTATCTTATTTAAAAAAAATAATATTCTACGATACACGATGTCAACGTCACACCTATTTTCGTGCTCAATCGTGTTGTTTTTGGGGTTTTTTTGGGTTCCTATTGTTTGATTCCAACCATGCTCAATCGGGTTGTGAAAAAGGTCAATCGTGCTCAGTCGGGTTCCAGCCATCGAAATTCATACTTAAATCAAACTCTTATGAGGGTTAATGTATTTGGTTTTTTGATTTGATCTAGCTCAAGACAACGCTAGACTAGTTATAATGCGTTGGAAATACGATATATTAAAAAAATTAGTAGAAATCAAATGTATTAGAGTATAAAAATGAGTCATTGAACTGCAAAATTGAGTCGGATATCTGAATTATTCGGATAATCAGTGAAATCCATATATACGCCCATCACTAAACAAAAAATTGAAATGAATGCAAAATCCAATAAATTGGTATCATAGGTATCAATATTTAATTATATCATAGAGTACATACGTATTGCATTACATACAATATTACAAAAATATTATTGTTAAATTAGACTTCTTGAATTTGTATTTTGGATTGTTCGATTTTGGCTTACATTTATCATTAGCTAATTTATTACTGATATATTTTTTAGAAATAATTAGTCCTCGTATTGTTTATTCGCATACCTGCAATAGTCTAAGTTTGTTAACGGCCATGTACAACATTGTCTTTTAAAATTGTTAGCATATTATGTCTGTCAGGTTTTTAATTCTTAATTTATTTTTCATTATGCCAGGAGCAAGTGTCATAATTTTTATTTTTTTTATCATATCAAAAATATAATTTTTAAGCAATAATTCCTATTCATGATTATCACAATCCATACAGATGTATGATAAATCAATATCAATCGACACATTTAAGTGCTTATAGTCATTTTTTCACTAAAGTTAGTTATAACTTTATAATGGTGATGTGAGATCAAGCTTACATAGTACTTTGTTGAAAGGAAAAACATCGAAATATGGCCACACAGAACTGTAGAAGTACGTGTACTGTCATAACTCTGCTCCATCTAAATATTTTTAAAACGAGTGTTTTTTAAATAGTCTCAAATATCCAGAATTTTGTTTCGGTAAGGAGTAAATATGTAGGTATATCTGTATTAAAAATGTAAAATATTTTAGTAAAATTGGTTTTTTTGAAAAAAAAATTAGTTTTTTGAACATTTATCATTAGTGATTGTTATCTCGTTTTATTTGATATTATACATGATAAAAGCTTTAAATTGTTTTATATTGAAATATTACATCTGTACAGTGTTCACACGATAATAATAGTAATTTTACCACTAATTAAATGTCTGCAATTTGTTTATTAATACAAACAAACAACAAAAGTTAAATATATTATTATTAGTATAAGGCGCGTTTGTATTTTTAGTAAGACAGTAAGCAACATAACTTTAATAGTGATTATAATACATTATTAATTGAGACGTTATATTAAGATAGTTGTTCACTCCTAAGTGGAGGTAATATTATTACCGAAGTCTATTAATCTATGTACCTATACTCTATTCAGAATGAGATCGTACCTCGGCTGTCACCAGTCTTCGTCCGCAGCAGTCAGACGCCACCTAGGCGACAGCTCGCGAGACTAGCACTGCGGAACAAAGCCACGTCCATGCGCAGAAGTCGGCCGCCGAAGTACGATCTCATTCTGAATAGAGTATAATATATATCCCATAGCCATATTTCATCCACTCTAAGTTAATAGGTATAAAATGTTATACGTTTAAGAAATGTTGATAAATTAATATAACTTTATGTAACTTATTTTTTTCAATAATGCTTGACTACAATAATTGTTTCAATAATTTACAAGAGTGTAAAATTAAGTACATTTTAATTAAATACCACGTGTTATAAATAACATTATAATCCTAGATAATTATTATATAGGTGATGTATACTGCAGAACATCATTATTGTTTATGTCAATTTGTCATGTTTATCATGACCAAGTACAGACATGCATTTATAATTATCAGTTTGTGGGTGTATGCAAATGATCAAACAACTTCAATACAATATTTCATCGAGATACAGTGTACATTTATTAGTATATAATGGAGCTAGTAGTTCTAACTAGCTTCACACATATTATTATATTTTAATTGGGCATGCAATCCTGTTGTCAGTAGTATTGAAAACAGTGTTATTTCACTGATTTTTTAACTGCTTAGTTAGCGATATTAATATAATAACTTCATTAGTTTAAATCAACTTTATATTTTTCATCGTAATGTGGAAAGCAATCTGGTCACTTTTTATTTTGCTTTTTATGTCAATCACTTCAATAATTGGACATTATAGTAATCAGTAAGTAGTTGAGTTTTTATATTTTAACACCTCATAAGCATTTCAATACAAAAACTTGTATTGTTACCTTAAAGTTTGATTGAGATTAAGAATATTTTTTCCCCATTATTAATTGTATTTATTTTAAAATCGATATAATTATTTTTTATGTCTTAATTTATTAATAACTACAAATATATGATGGTGATTATATACATTTGAAAATAATTATAGATTGGCTAGTTAATGCGATTCGTGTATATATTATTGACGCGTTTCATAATTGTATAAATATGGGCTTTAAAAGTACGTATTTAAAAAAGATGATAAATCGGTAGGTACTGATTAATGATTAATAATCGTCTTTCCTCTTTATCAATTAAATAATTACATTGTATTTTTTCATTATTAGTCGTGTTATTTTTATTTGTGGAGCACTTACAAAAAAAAAAAAAATAAATGAAATAAAAGATTAATTTATCTAATATAAATGAAAAATATAATCGAGCTTTGCTTGAACAAGTATTGAGTTCCTAATGAAATTTATGAGTTTAAATAATTTAGGCCATGCTTTCGATCTGACAACGGCCATCTATACGTAGATAGCGCTACTAGCCGCAATATATCTTTGAGTACAAAAGGACAAGGATTCATAAACTTGAATAATGAGAACTTACTTCAAATTATTGGACTGGTAATTAAGTAATTGAATATAATATCTGTTATGAATAAATAAATAATATTTGGTCATATTATCACGGACATTTTATAGGCTAAAGAAGCTTGGGAAGTAATTGTTGCTTTTCGATCAAACGATTTGCCTGAGTTTGCGGATACATTAAACAATTTTGTGCCAATGATAGATGGTCCGAGAGGTTTATCCAGTCGAGTCACCGCTCTGGAAATGCAAATTTTTAATGCATCATCGAAATTATCTACTAAAGGCGTAAGATTATTTGATTTCGATTAGATTTGTATGTTGGAAGTAGAGGTAAGGAAAATTGCAATTGTGTTCCGTACACAATATTTTTTTTTTTTCGTCGTTTTAAACTTATTAACATTTACTAAAATGCTTACTAAATGTTATATTAATATAATTGTAAATTAGAGTTGTATTTTTATAAATTAAATTAATTTGATGGTAAGAAATTCAAATTTTAGCTTTGTGTATTAGAATAAATGTTGATGTTTTGAAATATTTTTCTTCTCCCACTCAACAACATGCATTTCTTTGCAACTCCACTGATTTCACATAAATATTGTTAATTATGTACGGTATATTTTTATGTTGACATAGAACGGTGGAACGGCGTTCACCGCAAATCGATTAGAAGTCAGAGTGAGTAAATCAAATTTGTATAGTAAACCAAAAACATTTTAATCCAATATTTGGGTATTTATATAGTTGACTAATTTAGAAAAGAAAATCACCAATCTAGTTAGTCTTTTGTCAATTAGCGAATGCTTGAGTAACCCTTGTCAGAATGGTGGCACATGTATAGATATTTATAATGGATTTCAATGTAATTGTCCAAACAATTGGCAGGTAAGTGTAAAGATATTTTATGATCAGTAATTTACAATATACATAAGCTTAAAAAATAAGTCCATCATGATCAATGTATATAAAGTGCATTCCCTATTGTATTATTGTAGAAATTAGGAATAGAATTACATTATAAACTTATTACTCACATTGAATAAATTAATTTTTTTCGGCCATAATTTTAAATATTTTAAGTACATATTTTATGTGATTGAGATAAAAAAAATTGTAATTTAGGTAGGTATTGAACAAACTAATGTGATGTAATAAAACTATAACAGCTCAAAGTCTATTATTTAATACATAGCATTTTATTTTAAACATAACATAATGGGCAGGTTATGTATTCAAAATTTATTTTCAAAAGTATTGAAATTTAAATGAAACTGTATTTCTTGAAATATTGAAAAGATATCCATCAGAGAAAACATTTTGATATTTTGAAAGATGACGCAAAATAATACTTTATTTATTACAAAGGGTAGAATGTGCGAACTGGACGTAGACGAATGTGTGCGTTTCCTCCACACAGACTTAGGGTGTCAAAACGGAGCAGAATGCAAGAATACGCCCGGAAGTTACGAGTGTGTGTGCGTGGTGAACTGGTTCGGTTTGCACTGTACGAAAAGGAAGAACGATTGCAACGCGGCAATGTCGTCGGAACTCTGTGGCAATGGGGTGTGTATCAATCAACCATCTACTGTTGGCTACACGTGCATCTGTAACCAGGTCAGTACCACACTGTATTTCAGACGGAAAACTGTTCGAGATTGAGTTCACATTATATCGTAGGTATTTTTCTATTTTAAAAAAGGGCTGGACTGCCATGGATGGAGGACAAAATCCGGCTTGCACGAAAGATGTGGACGAATGCAAGGAAAATAAGCACACGTGTTCGGCAAACCCACCAGTCGAGTGCAGGAATACCAGGGGGTCATTTACCTGCGCAAATTGTCCGGCAGGTAAATATGCACCTCTAAATGATGGACAATATATTTTAAATGAAACAATTATTTCATGTTTTATAATGCCCTTAGGTTACGAGGGAGACGGATTTGTGTGTACTGATGTTAACGAGTGTTTGATAAATAATGGTGGATGCAGTGTGAATCCCAGAGTTCAGTGCGTAAACACGAGAGTAAGTACATAATATGTTTATCAATAATTGTGTTGAATCAATGTGAATGCTTAGGAATTCTTACGATTATTGAATAGATGATAACAATAAATTATTTACAGCTATTTTCAAAATTAATAGCATGCACTTTACTCCGTGCATTTTATATAATTTTAACAAAATACTTTGTCTTGATAACACATCCAGGGTTCATTTAAGTGCGAATTATGTCCACCTGGTTATATTGGTGATGGATTTAATTGCGTCTATAAATCTGGAGGAGCGTGTGCAATAGACAATGGAGGGTGTCATCCAAATGCTGAGTGCACTGGTAAATTAGATAAAATAATGTTTACATATTTCCTAAGTCTCGTAAACCTTTTTTTTTACTTTGCTTATAGTTTACGCTGAAACAACAATTCAGTGTACATGTCGGCAAGGATATAATGGTAATGGAATCGGGATGAACGGATGTATTAAAGACTATATAACAGCAATAGATGTATGCCAGAATAATCCTTGTGGTTCCCATGGTGTGTGCCTTTCGAGTTCAACTAACAGTTTTTCATGTCAGTGTGATGCGGGTTATACAGGTGAAATTTTGCTGACAACATTTTTTGACGTAAAAGTTTATATATTTCGTGACACGTTTTATTAATTCTAGGACGAATATGTAATATAAGAGTAGAAAATCCATGCTTTGTAAATCCCTGTCTAAACGGAGAATGTGTCTTTGATCCAGAACGTGGAAAATTTAGTTGCAATTGTTATACAGGTTATTTTGGACCGTTATGTGGATCATTTGAAGAAAGTAAATATGTTGCTCAAGCTTATTGTAAATGTTATATGTCCAAAATGTAATTAATGTAGGAATGTTTTAAAGGATGTGGGGGTTATTTTGACACATTTAATGGATCAATACAGTATCCCGAATCAAATACAACGCTAACCTATCAGAGTAACTTAAATTGTGCATGGCTGATCGAAATAAATTCATCTCTCGTCATTAATATATCATTTGTTTGGATTGATATTGAAAAATCAATAAATTGTTCTTCCGACTATGTTGAAGTAAAAGTATTTTTTTTAAATTTAATATTTTTAATTACTATTTGAGTTGTTTTAGATTAAAAACGCCGATGACTATAAAGGACAATTTTTGGGTAAATTTTGTGGAAATATATTACCTTTAAAAAATAGCATTATTTCGGATTCATATTCAGTTTATGTACGTTTTCGATCTGATGGATCCAAAAATTATCGAGGTTTTCAGTTAAATTACACATCAATACAACCAGGTAATAATTAAATTTAATCATATTCCTTTACCCCTAATTTTTAAAACCAGTAAACTCTCCCAGATCAACAGTGTGTTTAATTGAAACAAATTTGTAAGCCCCAAACTAATCGAGTCAACATTATGTTTATCTGATGTAAATTTGGAAACACCTCTGGGTCAACATTATGAATTTACACGAACGAAATATGTACTCTCTCCAGTTTTTTTAAATGTATGTCACAAAAAAATTATCAACTTAACACAACAAAATTCGTGTAAGTGGATGTCACTATACAGCAGAGTAGGTCACAAGTTGGTCACTGTAGTGGATGGTGTTAAATTTGAATTCAATGATTTAATATCATTCTACTAGATTAACGATTCTGTAAGCCTGTAATATTACTTAGTAAATCAGTATAATTTGTTATATGTCTCTGATTAAAGTAATTTATTTTACTATTAAGTATTAGTTCTACATAAGAATAAATTAAAATACATTTGAAAAGTAATTGAATGTGTACAATATTATAATATTAAACTTTAAAAGTTTCAGGTATCCACGAATAATATTTTTAAATTACAACAAAATAACTTAAATCATTATTCTTGGTTATTTAATATGTAATTATGTCCACATTTGAACATGAAACAACTACAAAAAAAAACTGTGATTATACGTTTATAGTTTTTTTTTACAGTTTTTACAGAATAATGTACTTGCGTGATGCCTTGTTAAATGTACAACCCTTACCTACAGAAGTTGAACATTTTCAAAAATTTTTAACGATAAATTGTTTTCAAACTTCTCAATTCAAACTCTCATAGCGAATTATTGTGGCTTCACGCTCAACTTTTTTTTTTATGTTAATTTAAGAGGAACCTTGTAATCCTTTTTCAATTTTTTTGACCAAGCAAAAATTTTTTTATCGACATTTGTTAAAAAAAACTATGAACATTCGAAAATTTAATGTACCTATAAATAGTTCAAAACAAGTAAAAAATTTTGAAAATTGTATGGTGATCCTGTAGGAAATGTGGGTATAAAAATTCAGTGAAAAGTTCATGTATATATGGTAATCTTTTTTAGAGTTATATCACAAACCAAAATCGATTTTTTCAAAAACCTGGTTTCCGTAAAAATTCTAGTTTTTCCTTCATCTTTTATTTGTTTTTCCTTTCGCTTTTTAAAACTATTGGGCATTTTTTACTTTTGATCTACCAACGTACCAACTAGATTCACTTTCCTACCAAAAAACATTCTGTTGAAGAAAACCGAAGCATTTTTACTGCCCCCAAAAAGTGATGTCAGACACAATGAAAAAACAGAAACACATCATTTTAAAATTATTACATTCATTGCTCCGCTCAGAATCTAAAAGAGACATTTCAAGTTTTTGAAAATCTGTGTGTTCATATAATTATATTCTTAAAAATATTAATTAAATTAAAATTGTATTATTTTGTGTTATTAACTATACTTTAAATAATTTACTATTTTAATGAAATTCAAATGTTTATGACTTATATTCAATTAAAAAATGTGTATGTTTATATTATATTATTATAAACATTAAATTATTTTATTTAAAATTATACACAATGTAGCTGCAGAAACTGCAGAGTTTACATATGCCCGTCAGGCAGTATTGGATTAAACCTAGGAGAGTTTACTGGTCATTAAAATCGGAAGGGTTTGAAACCACCCATTATTTTAACTCAATTAAAAATATTTAATTCTGTTATTTTAGAATGTGGAGGTATATTAAATATCGATTCACATGGCACATTATCTTCTCCTGGTTCTCCTAAAAAATATCCACCTAATCGTGACTGCTATTGGACTTTAAATGCCATTCCAGGAAAGAGAATTCAATTAAATTTCTTCTCATTAAGTTTAGAGAAACATGTAAATTGTCTTTATGACTATTTAGAGGTAAAATTTTCATTTAAATAATTGTACTATTGGTGGTTAATTTGATAAACCTAGATTATCTAGGTAATAATAAGAAAAATAATAATAATACAATTACTTAATTATAAAATATGTAGATTCGAGATGGTTTTACTCAGCATAGTCCAATACTGGCCAAATTATGCAGTACTACAAAAAATAGTTTACCTCCTCCTATAATAACTTCAAGTTCACATGCAAGTTTGCATTTTCATTCCGATAGTCTAGGCCAAGACTACGGATTTCAAATTACGTACAGTGTAATTGAAGGTATTCATTATTTCTTATATTTTTTATTTTTAATATCTCATAAGTTTCTTACAAAATGATTTTTCTATTTATTGAATTTAAAAATTGTATATTATATATGAATAGGTGTACCCGGATGTGGTGGGACTTATACAAGCACTTCTGGAATTATATCTTATCCTCCACATTTGACAAGTGATAGTTTTAATGATCTGGACAGTTCAAATTGTGAGTGGCATTTAAAAATGCCACTTCATCAGAAACTTAAACTTGAATTCATTAAGAAGTTTGGCATTGAATATTCAACAGATTGTTTAAAAGATTTTTTGGAAGTATGTGTTATTTCTTTTTCGTGATAATGATATTATCTAAATTTGATTAACCCTTTATAATACTACCAAATTAATTTTATTACATAGGATAATAAGATATTTATATTACAGATTTACGATGGCCCAAATATAAAATCTCCATTAATTGGTCGTTATTGTGGTTCAACTAGATATGTACAGCCAATTATCTCAAATAGTAATGATGTCACTATTCTTTTCATATCAAACTTTTCATCAACAGTTGAAGGGTTTACGATCAAATATGAGACATGTATGTATGAATCTATTTTTATTGGTTGGTGATTTACAATTAAATTATTATTACTTTGAAAAGTAAGCACTTGTATTGTCTAAAGTATTAAAATAATTCAATATATTTATCTCACATAGTTTTAACATTTTTTTCTGAAACAAAATAACAGTATACTTACACTCTTTTATAATTATTATTTTTCAAATGTCTTACAATTTTCAGATGACAAATTACATTTGTTTTTTCATATCCCTAATCCCATTTATATAAAATTACCTCTGATGCGTAACTTCTTTCTCAAGTATTTAATCAAAGTTATAAAACATAGTAATTATATTTAATGTGTATTAATTTATATTTTCTACTTTAATACCTAGTAAATACAGGCTAAAATCCTTTGTTGTTGACACCCCTTAATGAATTATAAAAAAAAAAAATAGTAAAAATACATTTCGAATTAATGCGAATTTATTGTTCAAATAATGACGCAGTGTATTTATACTAAAGAGTAGATATCGAAAAAAGTTTGTATTATTATTGAAACATGTATGTACAATATATGGCAATCGTATTCCTAGTTTCTTGCGGGGTACTCACTTTGATTAGACTCGAAGAGAATAATTATGATAATATATGAAATAATGATCTCTTTGATTTTAATTATATTTATTGTATTATAGTGAATACTTTTTACTTTTAGTGTGTGGTGGAACATTTCTTAATAGCAATGGTATAATCGAATCGCCATTCTATCCAGAACCTTATCCACAAGATAAAATATGTGAGTATCTAATCGAACAACCCGTTGGAAAAGCTATTCGATTATCATTTTTGGATATGGATATGGATCCTAAGTATCCATTATGTTTTTTTAATTCATTAGAGGTAAAATATAATAATATATATAATAGCATTATTTAACTTTACATGATACATTCATGATATTATCCTAAAATATTCTATTATTATACTACTTTAAATTTTGAATCATTTAAGCCAATAAATAAATATTTTAGAATCATTCCATATAATATTGATAGTATTATTTAGTATAATTTAATCGTATGTTATATAAATTGTAAGAATTTAAGCAAGTGTTGACTAGTATATCTTACACTTTTCGTAAACTAAAGTCATCATGAGTTCATATCGTATAGTATACTGATGTTGAGAACAAATGATATTTATTTCAGATCAGAGACGGAGACAATGCAAATTCAACTATGATTGCATTTCTATGTGGAAATATTAAAAAACTTCCCAAACTTCCATATATATCAACACATAATTATATGTGGCTAAAATTTTCCTACAAACATACTAATTCTTATAGAGGATTTCGAGCTAACTATTCAACCATTGATATAAGTAAACAACGGCATTATTGTAGTTAATTATAACTATGTTAATTACAATTTTTTAAATATACCTTAGCATGTGGTGGTATATTGAAGCAACCATCAGGTATTATACAATCGCCGAAAAATCCAGAGGAATATCTCAAAAATCAAATGTGTAAATGGATTATATCTGTAAATGAATCTAGTCGAATACAATTAAATTGGTTATCGTTCTCTTTGGATAACCATATCACTTGTAAGAATGATTATGTTGAAGTCTATGACAATAGTGTTCAAGGAAATGCATCAAAAATTGCTAAGTAGGTGACTAAATAGTGTCAAATACAAATATATCATTCAAATACTTTGAATGGAAAGTTAAATGCCTTTACAGATTTATTTAAATTTGATATTCAATAATTTTTAGGTATTGTGGATCTAAAGTTCCACCTGTATTGACTTCATTAGGTAATCGACTAACAATAGTTTATAAAACTGATCATTTAGGAGCACTGGATGGGTTTATGTTAAATTATACTTCTTTAAATAAAGCACGAGGTATGTTTAGTTCAAAATAAATTGTCCACATAAATAATGATTTATAATTACGTAGCGTGTGGTGGAAACTTCTTCACCCCAGAAGGTTTTATCATGTCACCAAATTTCCCAGACGACTACCCCACACTAATGTATTGTAAATGGACCATAAATGTACCAGTTTCAAATCAGATTGAGCTGAACATTACTCAATTTCATCTCGAAGAAACACATGAGTGTGAATTTGATTTCATTGAAATTCGGTATGTACGATTTAAGTTTAATATATTATTTGTATGACAGGTAATAATTATACATTTTTATAGAAATGGTAGATATTCTTCATCACCTTTAATTGGAAAGTATTGTGGATCTAAAATTATTCCTATTATATCTTCAGCCGGAAATTCGTTATTTATAAAATTTGTATCCGATGGGTCACTTGGCTTTAAAGGTTTCTTTATTCAATGGTATTTAAGTGCCAGAGGTATTTACAATTAAATGTTATATAAGTCAAATATACACGTAATCCTTTATATTATAACATAATTTAAAGGTTGTGGGGGAACATTGAATTCTGGTAGAGGAAGTATCGTGTCTCCTAACTATCCATTGCCTGTACTGGAAACATTGGAATGTTTCTACAAGATATCTGTGGTGCAAGGAAGTCAAATCCAGCTTACTATAATAGATATGCAATTAGTGACAGACAATGTTCCTGGACTATGGTGTAAAGACGATTTTCTTGAAGTATGTATCAATTGGGTATTAATTCTGATATTTGGTAAATCTATAATGTTAGTCTGAATAATGACCTGAATATTTTGTCGTTTCCATTTTGCATGTATAGGTGGATTTACAAATTTTAAGCTTTTTTTAATTTCAACTCACCCCGATTTTGCTTTTATTATTTTTTTTATTCAAACTAGGATATTTACCCTATAAACATGATTCTGATCTGATAAAACTATTATTTGTCGTAATTAAGTTTGTTTATAAATTGTTAGAAATGATTTTTACAGTTTTATGACGGCGGAAGCTCCGCTAATAAATTATTAGGAACATATTGTAATGATACTGGTTTACCTCAGTTTGTACAATCGACATCAAATCAAATGTATATAAAATTTAGAAGTAGTGGTTTTTCCAAAGGTAGAGGATTCTCGTTAAAATATGCTACTGGTTCGTATATATTAAATAGTAAAGAAAATATTTGCGTGCAATGTAGTATAAAATAATATTAAAAGAAAACTAATCCTTTTTTTTCTAGATTGTTATGTGAATTTAAAAGGATATCAAGGAGCTATTGAAATAGTTAAAGAAGGAGATACAAACAGAGATACGTGTATATGGACAATTTTAGCTCCCAAAGGAAGTACAATTAATATAACTTTTACTGAATTTGAAATATCGAAGAGTTTCATAAGGACACCGATTAATCTGGAAGACGACAGCGATATTTTAAACTCGCCATTGCCTTTTAACAGTTTAAATCGTTACTATCCGCCACGGAGCCTAGTAAAGTAAATTTATTGTAATAGGTGAAGTTATTAAAACGTAATAGTATTAATTTCTTCTTTGTTATTAAATGGTTGACATGACGAATGTAACCCAAAATGGGTGAGAAAAAATGTCTACTCAGTACAAAATAATTTATGTGTTCAAAATAACTAAATATTCTTAGAAATATAGCCTGAATACTAACTTACTATCCCTACTGTGAATCGTTTTCTATAATATACCTATTTATTATTGAATTTATATTTAACTTAAACGTTGACTTACTCTATAACCGAAACTATTATACACAGATGACCGAATCTTCCAATTTATCAAACTCCAGTAACAAAAACTTATCTTTCATGGGTCCATAGTATTTCAATTAAAATGTCTATAAATTACTAGAGGTAATACAAATCGAAATATATTCACCAAATTTCGTCAAAATTTGAATATTAACCCCTATAAAAAAATCGTATTTAATCTATATGTATTATAAGAACAAGTTACGAAGAAACCTTGTATTTCTAGCCTTTTTATCTGACAAGACAGTGACAATCAAAAATGTTATCAACACACATCAAAAAAATCTATAAACAATATTTGCGTACCGAGTGCTAATTAAAACACATATTTATTAGATGCACTTTAACTTTATTAAATAATAATTAAAAAATTTCATTTTTAAAATAATACAACAACTTACAACGTGATGTGTGTGTGTGTGTTAATATACATAAGTTTTATGTAAAACATAATTGAATAATATCATAACCTTAAATACACCATTATCATAGAATAAATAACATACATATATGACACATTAGACGATTTTATAAGTCTAAAATGTGGCAAAGTATTATTAAAATTATATTTTGTCTAAAAATGTCCAATACATGTAAACATTTAATGAATTTTGTCAAACCTATTACTAAAAGAGTACTGCAAATTGCAACTTTCATATTTTTGAAGATAGAAAAAAGTAATTAGGTACATCCACTCTCAAACCTTTATTAAAACGAAAAATGGAGAAAATGTTTGAACCCAAAAAATGTTATTACACAAGAATTTAATGTTGGGGTTATTAAAACAATGACAATGACATGTCTGTAATTAAATATTTATTTGTATTACATAAATTTAAATGTGAGACTCGCTATTTAATATTTTCAGTTTTGCACCAAAATATAATATTAAGAACTAAAAAATGTATAGGTAGATCATAAAAAAACAACAATTATAATTTAGTGTTAGAAATTCGGAAGTCCTTTAATATTGGATTTTGCATATGTTTAGATATCCTTTTTTGGGACCACACAGGATTATACTTTCAGATTTGCGTCAATTTCATAATTTATATTTTAAATGTATAGATACCAAGTTAATTGTAAGTATATGTGCATATATATCTATGAAGCAAGACATTTCTATGGTTCTTGATGGACTGTAATTTATATATTTATTATTAGATAACTGAAGGAGTCAACATGCAAGAAATTAATACTGTTTTGTGGAAAAATAACTGTTCCATGGAACCTCATTCTATGATATCTTCAACTAAGAACATTGTTAGAATTAATTATAAATTCAAAAACGAAAATCACTTTATGGGTGATAAATTCAACAATTTTCGTATTGAGTGGATAGTAGACGGTTGTGGTGGCGTGTTTAATCAACTGCAAGGAGAATTTACATCACCTAAATATCCTGGATTTTACGGTTTGAGTACAACATGTGAATGGAATATTATAACCGGTAATGGATATATTATAGAGATAACTATAGAAGACTTATGGTTTGAAGCTTCAGGATCTTGTTTACATGATTACATAGCTGTATGTATTTAGGAGTGATTAAATAGTGTACCTAGTTTTAATTAAAACTGGTAAATTTTTTAAAGATTTTCAATGGATATGATGATTCTGCCCCGGAATTGTTAAGAATATGCCATAAACAAACAAGTCCGATAACATTGACGTCTATTGGAAATGAAGCTTTTGTAAGATTTGTATCAGTCGATGAGTCTCAGAAAAAGCGATTCAAAGCTACATACAGGGCAATTGAATCGAGTGTGTATTTCCTTCTATAGTTATTTAAAATAAAATAATAATATTACTGTTAATTATCTGATTCATAATATTTTTAATAAAATATATTTTAATTTAACTTAATTTATGTATCTTGATAAACATTAATATGTTTTATGGTAAACTGTCTCATTCTGACAAAACATTTTCTTAGGCAAAATAAAAATAGAATGATCATATTTATATTTTTAAATTTATTGTTTTAATATTTTGGCTAATCATATTATCATCACTGTAAACTAGGTTTTTTTTCAATTTTTAACAAAAATTACAAGGAAAATTAACAATTCAATTACTAAATATAATTATATATGTACCTACATTGTTTTCATAGGTACCTAATAATTTTAAATGAAATGACGCAGTTTTATTTCATTGAAGAAATTTTTAATTTTTTGGACGTTTCGGGAATGGGTGCAAGTATCTCGTATAGGGCCTCCGGTAGTTCCAGTTTGAAAAGAATTTCATTGAACTGGCGACATTCGAGGAGTATGTGCTTGACAGTAATGAGTGTTCCGCACGTAGGGTATGAGGGTGGCATTTCGTTGGCCATGAGGTATCCGTGTGTAAGGCGGGTGTGGCCTATTTGTAGGCGTATTATTATCACTGTAGGCTAGGTTTTTTTTTTAGTTTTTAACAAACAATAGGTACTAGGAAAATTAACAATTCAAGAAAGTAAAATAGTATGCAAGTAATAATTCAGTTTTTTTTTTTGAAGAATGTGGAGGGATGTTTACTGCTCCTCAAGGAGTTATTCATACTAGCAATTACCCTCGGAGCTATGATTCTAAAAGTTCTTGTACATGGACTATTGAGATAGCAGAAACGCATTTAATAAACCTTACATTTATTGACTTCAGTACTCAGAGTTCTCCTCGGGGGAATAATGATGTAGTCCTAGTATATGATGGTAATATTCATGGGAAATTACTCCTTAACCATTCTGGAAATAGCATACCACCACCTGTTATATCTCCAACAAATAAGCTCCTTGTATCCTTTGAAGTTGGTAAACACGACTTCCAAGCGAAAGGGTTTAAAGCAATATATTCCACGGTAATTCATATTAATATAAATTTACACAAATTATTTTACGATCGTGTTAAATTGATGTTCTAGGCATGTGGTGCAAAATTAATAACAAATGATTCGGGAATTATAACTAACAATCCATATTTTACAAATGGTAAAATCGAGAACTGTTCTTGGACTATTATATCTGATATCCCAAGGTCAAAAGTCACATTAACGTTTACTCATATAGACATAGTACATTATATTGAAGATATAATAGTAGAAAAGTCAAATATAACTGATCGTCAGTGTTCTGACGATTTATTTCATACAATATTTCGAATTTTGGATGGCCCGGATTCTGATGCACCTGAAATATTAAAGTTTTGTAAATCAAATCCAATACCACCACCTATTGTCAGTCACGGACCTGCTATGCGTATAGAGTTTACAGATAACTCTGGTGCGTTGGATTCATTTGCAGCTCTATATTCTGTGAGATCAGTAGGTGTGTAAACATATCGTGGTGTAACTTAAACGATTTAAATATCCTCGTAATAAAATTATTTTGTCTTTTATAGCATGTGGTGGAACTTACGATTCCATAAGAGGAACGATTTCTTCACCCAACTACCCAAATAATTATTATAGAGACTCAGAATGTGTTTGGATATTAAAGTCCTCCGTTGGAAATCTCGTGTCTTTGAATTTTATTGCTTTTGAATTGGAAGAAGACGAGTTTTGCAATGAAGATTACGTGGAAATTAGAGAAGGGGATTCTATCGGTCCAGTCTTAGGTATTTTTTGTGGACTAAATTTGCCATCTAATATTACTTCGGGTTCTACGCTTTGGGTCAAATTTCGTTCCAATTCTCTTGGATCAGCCAAAGGATTTACTGCAGATTTTAAATATGGTAAGAATAATTTCACGATAATTTATTTTTTTCAAATGAAGTAGTTTTTACAATTTAAATGCTAGTTACTAAAATCTACAAGTCACAGCAGTCAGGGAAAATCTCGAGTCCAATGTATCCCAAAATATACAGAGATAGTGAAGATTATTCGTGGACAATAATAGTAGATCAAGAAAAAATAGTTCAAATTGTGATTAACGATTTAATTTCTTCTTCCGAAATTCACGAACTTAAAGTAAGTGAATACTTTATGTTTTAAGTACAACATATGATCTTAGGTTTTTGTAATTCGTTCGTGGTTGTTCTGTTCGTTCAGATATACGACGGGAGTAATGTCGAATCATTAATTTTATTTGATCTAAGCTCAACAAATGACTATGTAGAATTGAACAAAACCATAATATCAAGTGTCAATATTGTTTTCATACGGTTGAAAGCAGGGGAGAAAAGAGTTGTAGGCATACGGTTTTTACTATCGTGGACACAGATAGATAAGCTGTATTCGAATAAACTATATCCAATGTCGGAATATAAGTGTAAGTGAAAATATATATACATAAATTTAAATCAATAATATATAGCATGAATATAATGAGTTAAAATACAATATAATTAATGCCGAATTATTTCGTTTGCAGTCAATAGTACTAGTGTTGACTATTATTTATCACCGAGCTCTAACACAAGTGTGACTATTACTAGTCCTGGCTATCCTAATGGTTATGCACCGAATCTCAATGTAACTTGGATATTACACACGGAACCACACTATCATATTGATATTGAACTTATTGACATAGATTTTTATCCAATTCGTTCGTCGTTCGATAAGTTTTATGGAGATTACCTTGACGTAGTAACTGGTATTGTTAATTAATTATTATTTATATTATTTCTGTTTTTAAGTTCATTGAATATTGTGTTTGCTTGTTTATTTTTTGTAGTCAATTTAGATTTTTTTTAAAAGATATTTTTTAATTAGGTTATATTGATCTTGCCTTCATGATCTACTAAACAGTAACTTTATTTTCTCAAAATCGAGTTTTTGGTATCTATGGATAGACATTTTAATCATCTATAAATTCCTTTAAAAAGAGGGAGAGGTTTCTCATAAATAATTAATTTAATGAACAAGAGAGTATAATAGAGAATTCCGTTTTTACAAACATTAATTTATATCAGAAGTAAATAAAAAGTATGTTCAATTCTGTATGATCAATAAATTATGTCTTAGAATTGTATATATTTAAATTAGATGATATCACATGACAATTTTAAATAATCTAATACCTAAAATATACCTACGTGTAGTAACAACTTCTTTATTTATTAACTCAGATGCTAATGTTATTAGAAATCAGTTATCAGTAAAGCAAAATAAAAGTATACTTATACTTACTGCATCTTTCCATCTTCTAAATCATATAAGAGATAATAGATAGTCATTAATATAGGTAGTCCTTTAAATCGCATAAAAAGTTATGAAAATATTTTTTTTTGTTTGTATTTAAGTTTCCTTGATTCCGTAAAATCATATAACATACTATGTATTTGATGTTTGTAAAATTATTATTTTTAGTTTATTCACTAGGCCTTGGCGCAAAATTTTAGCTACCATTTATTTTAATTATTTTGGAGTTAAATTGTAAACTGTCTATAAAAAAAAACGGTTTTCAAGTCAATCATAATTTTTTGTGTATAGAATATATTATTATCATACGTTTTTACGTCAATATATTTTAGTTGATCCTGATACGGCAAATACAATATTGTTGAAAAAAGTGTATGCAAACAACAAACAAAATAATGACAAAAGTATAGTCGGAAAGAATAAAGTAATATTAACTTTTATTTCAAACAAGTCATTAAATGGTACAGGATTTAAAGTTGAAGCAAAATTACGTATGTTAGATTATTTACATAAATAATTGTATAAGGTATAAATGTAAGAGAAGATAAATATTTTTAACAACTTTTCTATGTTATAATAGAATGTGGAGGTCAATTGCGAGGACCAACAGGAGTCATTAATTTATATAATACATCAAAACTCATTGAATTATCGCACTCGTATCCACTTCGATGTACTTGGAATATCACTGTACGACCAGGAAGAACAATTTTAGTGAAACTTATGACCATAAAATTGTCTTCGTCCAGTCTATGTGTAGATAGTTATATTTTGGTATGTAATCACATAATATGAAAAGATCAATTTTGAGATCAAACTCTAACTTTGTCTTGTATGCCAATCTTTTTAATTCCAAGTTGTATTAAAAATATTTGCTTTGTCTTTTTTACGACATCTGAAAAGTAAATGTGCTCAAAACACTGAGATAGTGAAAATATCAGAATTGTTTGTTTTTCTATTTATAAAAAGAAAAATTTATTTACACTGATACTTTGTCTTAAAAGAAACACGGTTTTAAATTTTTAGAAAATATATAAGGTATCCATTTTTAATTCTTTGAACAATATTTTAGTTGAGAAATGGATTGTATGAGGATTCGTCTTTTATCGGAAAAGGAAAATACTGTAATGAATCGAATGAATCAACATTATCTACAACTGAAAATATGTTACAAATTAATGCTGTACTGTTGGAAGGAGACAATAAAGTAAGTTTAATAGTATATACTGTACAACTTCTATTGTAACAAATAAATTGAAATACATTATGTAGCTTAATTATCACAATGATAAAATACATATTATATTTAAATGCTTTGTTTTCCTTAATTTATTGTGTTTTTTGGAGGCACAAATAGTATTTCAAATTTATTAACCTCTTAATTTAGTTCAAAATAGCATTTGAAGAAAAATCAATTAACTGCGGTGGACAAATTTATTTGAATGATGCATACAGTATTAGCCAAATCACATCCCCTCAATATCCAAATATACCACCAGCCCACATAGAATGTATTTGGACGGTGGTTGCACCGTCTGCCGAACGGATATCTGTAACTATTGAAGACTTAGATTTCTCTGTAATTGAAGAGTAAGTTAAAACTCGCTTTTATATTTTTGTGTTTCTGAAAATCTATAAATACTAATTTCTGGTGGATGATTAGGTTTAGACAACAAAAATTATATACAATAATGTACGGTATAAAAAGAATCATTACAAGATAATAATAGACATTATTCTAAGAAATAATGTAATGAATTTATAATTGTTCGATACCTTTTTAATTGTAATGTTTCGTTATTTGTGCTTATTAGTCATTCATGTAACATTTTTTCTCATTTATCACGGACGTTTAAGTATGTGATCTAACTATTGTGCATTTGTGCAGTAATGCAGCATTGAGCGTATGATAAAATGTCTTAAATATATTTTTTTTTGCTTCAAATCTACAAATTTACTCATGTTAAATTAGCTGATTGGTTTTCATTTAAACTAAATTTTTTTTATATCAATGAATTATCATATTATGTGTTATGTTTATGTATATAATACTAATAAACTAATAAGACAAAAATTGTATTAAAAAATATAATTATTATAATTTGACTCAATAAAATATAGATGTGAAGCAGAATATTTGGAATTCAGAGATGGGGCAGCTCGATTTTCACGATTAATAAGTCAAATTTGTCAGGATATGGAGATTGCAGATATCGAAACTACAGACAGATTTTTATACATCAAGTATTTCACAAATTTAAATATACCCAGTAATGGTTTTAAATTAAATGTTACTATAGGTAACTATTTTTTTTTTACATAAGTATACATACTATTTTAAGCATGAGTACAAACATATTTAAATTTAATGAATACACTTGCTACTGTTCTCAATTTCCTCGCAGCTGCTATAACTTCCACTTTAATTACAATTTAGGTGTTTCCTCCTAATTGAAGCTTTTCATCGAGTTGACCCCAATTTTCTCTATGGGATTGTTTACAAATTAAGGTTTGGTGAACCACTTATATTCTGGTTCAATTAATATCTTTCTGGTAGGTTAAAAATTTTAAAAGCTATGGGTGCAAGTCCATGAGGTTCTTTCTTACACTTCTGAGATTCCTAACGTGGGCATCATTCTCTGTTTCTCTTTGCATCATTCATCAAAGTTTGGTGAACGCTGTGCAGGACACGGCTATCTATTACACTTAAATTATTTAACGACGTAGCACGTCGTCATCAGTTTTGAGATGTGTGTTAAGAATTATAGGTATTAAAATTAATTAACACTTGGACTTGTTTTGGTAACAATTAAGTAAAGCAATTTATTAATTATAATCCAAACATAACAATCATTAAGCACATTGTCGTAAGCGCGTTGCGCTATCGAGCAGTGCTGACTTTCTTCTAAAAAATGGTAGGTGCTCTACCCGTATTTACGCGGGTTCTAACAATGACGTCTAGTGGCGTGATATTCTAATATTCTAATTTTATGCCCCAAAAGCTAATCTTTGATCTCTGTTTCCTGTTATTTAGGCTTTTACGAACATTGCGAATTTATATCTAACTTATCTATCATAAATTATATCTCGTGTATAATTTATCATTAATAGTAATATATTCTAATAAGTGTTATGAAATAATAATGAATAATATACTACTCATTTTGGTTTTACTACAAATGTTATAAGAAAAATCATCCAAAAGTCAATTAATGTCGTTCATAACTATACCATTAATGATATTGTTTTGTCATTTGTTACAAGTAAAAGAGATCTAGGTACTTCTGACCTAGTAATCGATAATTTTAAAATCCTATAAGAAATGATTTATCCGACTTTAAGCTGTCCTCCTTAATAAAAAATACTGTTTTGCTCTCCAGTTCGCACTTTATTAAAGTACGCCTGCGTCCTATGTGATCTCTGCACTGCATCCGAGTCTTTAATTTTAAAGCTTCTTCAAAGGCGTTTCATTTGTTTTGCAATTCGTATTTTGAATATCAATCACCTATTGCATGACTATACTCCTATTCTGCATGCATTAGGCTTTGATATCTTGGCATACAGAAGAGTTAATGTAAACTTAAAATTTCTTTAGAGAATTATGGATGGTACACATGATGCGCTGACTCTCACATCCTGTATACAATTTCTAGTTACTCAACACTCCACCAACCCTACCGTTTTTTATTGATTTGTCATCCCCATTTGTACCTCCTATTATAGTCTGGATCATCCCATGGACAGACTAACGAGTATTGAAAATGAATCGACCATCTTTACATAGGATAGTTCTGGTGACCAACACTGCTATAACCTTAATTGCATTATGTTCTGTAAATTATTTCGAAAAAAAATGAAAGAAGGACTGTTTTGATAATAATTATTATGTTTTAAAATTGATTACCAGACCGTTATAATTCCGTTTTCTTTTCTCACGTTAAATTATATTTTATTGAATAAATCTTTAAGTATTTTAATCTCAACAAATTGACATAACTTTGATAAAGATATTTCAATGTTTTTGGTCATGATTTAGGAATGAAATAATATTAATGTCGTAACATTTGACATCATCGACGTGGAAATTAGCTTCAAAAATAATAAATGATTGATATAAGTTAACATTTTTACAAATGCATATGCTAACCCACTTAAAATAATTTTTCCATAATTCTTGAATTATGACATTTGCAGATTTTTTTGTATTATGTTCGCATTAAATGAAAAAAATAATTTAAAAACAACAAATAGGCACATGTGAAGTCTTTAAAATATTTTGTTTTCTAACAGCGAAATGTGGTGGTACTCGACGAGCACCTCGGGGTATAATATCGTCTCCTAATTATCCCAGCTCATACGAGTCAAACGTGGATTGTGAATACAAGATTATTGCTGGACCTGGTATGCAAATTCGGTTGAAATTTGAAACGGTGATACTTAAACGCCAATATCCAGGCATCGAAGATTCAGTAAACAATAAAATCTATGACGATACTTTAACCATATTCGATGTGGACCCCCTCAACAAAACAAGTAAAGCATAATTTTAGATTTTGAGTGAAACAATGAATGAGCTGATTTTACAATGATGTTTTATTTATGTCTGTAATACGAAATTTAGTTTAAAAATGCTTTGATTTTAATGTTTGGGGGTAGTTTCTGAAAGCAAATCAGATAGTTACAACTGTTGAGAGGTTAAGAGATCAAAGTTGAATATTCCAAGTTTTTTCTCGTTGAAATACAAAAATAAACTTGACATTTTATCCAAATATTTGTTCTACCACTTTTTGTAAATGATAACATTTTCAAAATATTTTTACAATTCTTAATCTATTTATAAGCTTTGATACTTTCGATTTTATACAGTTTTTTTTTTTAATGTTAATATTTTTTATCTGTCAAATAGTTAGAAAATTAAATACTAACTTCCTCATGAGTCGTATACACCAACTAACAAATATCGAAAGTACATAGTTATGATATTTTGAGGACAATTTTATTTTTGTATAATTGTATTTTTTCTAGGGGTGAAGATATTAACAATTGTTGGTTCCGATTTACCATTACATGAAATCAGATCATCTGGTCAAGAATTAATTATTAAATTTAAATCACACTTTATAAACAGACCATTTCGTATGAACAACACTCAAGCAAAATTTTTAATGTCATATGAGACTGACTTTATTGGTAATTTGATAAATATCTATTTATATAGCATAATGGTAATCCATTAGGTACTCCAATTATTATAAAAGTCAATTACGTATTTACGTAAAACGAGTTTAATTGTGAAAGTTAAGTTTTGATTTCATCGGAAATTAATTTAGTGATGGGTCGAAATCGAACTGTTCGAATCTCGAACCTAACCGAACCGACTCTTGATGTTCGGTTTTGTTCGAAATTCGAACTCCACGACATGAAAAAATTTGAATCGAACTATCAAACATCATTTACTGTTCGAAAATCGAATTGGTTTTTGTTGTTGCAAATAATTTTTTTTCTATACTGAGCCTTTATGTTGTAATCAATCCTTTATACTATTAGAATACAATTTCGCAACGTAAATCACAACTAAAATGTCTATTTAAATGAAATTTGGTTTGTATATTTTGATCATTTAGTATTTATATTATTCAATAGATTGTTTTAAAAATTACGATGTTGAAAGTGGTGAAATAAGCAGTCCAGTCTATACCAGTTTGGATAGTGGAAACATTTTTTGTAGTTATAATATTAAGGTGCCAAAGGGACGTAGAATCACTGTAGAAATAATCAAAGGAAAATCGCTCATTCAAAATTGTGAAAAAAATGCTCTACCAGAAAATAGGCTTAAAGAAAAACTCAAAGTAAATATAAATAATCAACTAACTCAATTTACATTTTTTGATGTATACCTACATATTATATTAAATAATATACGAGTGGAACGTGATACTGCAATATATTTAAAAATTGAATTGTCAACCTTTATATTATTATATAGATATTTTAATTCAAAACTGTGATAACCTCGATATCAGTAACATCACTAATTTATATGCTATTGAATATTCATAGGCTTATCAAGTGATAATGTCAAGTGATATGTTTCGGGCTGCTGTATGCATCGATCCTGCTATTGACCCCAAGTCATTGAACTATATGTTTGAATCAACTTCAAACGAGATTATGTTGAAATATGAAAAACCTTACAAAATAGATAATCTTGATGGTTTTCGATTAAAATTCTCATCTGACAAACCTTCCAGTAAGTAAAAAATGTCTGTAAATTCGGTCAAATAAAGGTATTGTAAACACATACTTAACTATATCCTACAAAGAAAACTTTATTAATGATTTACAGATATACTTATACTATATAATTTAAATTCCAACGTTTAGAAATATAAGAGTACAAGACATGTCAGTATTCAATTTATTATATCATTTTAAATCTATATTTTTGTAACTTACTTATTTATATTAAATTTAAATGCCAAAAGTTATATCATTTCTGCAATTTAAAAAAACTGAAACACTTATCTACTCACTATTATACCTAAGTTTGAAAGATGATTACATTTTTTAAATATTAAAATTTATTATATTTATACTAGTACCTACATTTATTATTTTATAAGAATATTTATTTAGATAAATTTCAGTTCAATTTTTATTAATGTTATAGTTTGTGGTGGAACAATTGATGCCAGCATCAAAGGTAATTTTGAATTCCCAATCAAATATTTAACCAAGGGTTATTGTCAGTGGGATCTTACAAACACTAATGGAACAATTGTAATATCAACAAATTTCAAAGTTAATGAAAGCCAGATATCTTGCAAAGATGAAAATAATCATATTTTATTGGCCACTTATGGTAGATATAATATTATATAATATAGTTACACTTTGGATGTCTTAAAAATATGAATTTTAATTATTGTTTAAAAGATGACAGTGAATTATTAAAAAGGTATTGTCCAATGCCGAATACCAACGAAAAGTTTACAATTCTAAGTCCAATGCCAATGGTTAATCTTTTGGTAATTTACTACAAATTGAATTTAAGCAAAATGTTAGAATGAATTGATAATGCATCATGAGTTCATAATTATTTTAGATGTTGACTAACTTAAGAACAATTAACTACACAGCTAAAATTGATTATAACGTTAATTCATGTGGCGGAGTGATGAATGGGCAGAAAATAACAATAACAAGTACTGATTATCCTAAAAATTATGGGCAAAATTTAAAATGTGCCTGGTATTTAAAACTTCCTGAAGGTAATAACGTCGATGTAAGTAAATACCAACGATACGAACAAGCAGTAAAACTAACTACTTAATATTATTTGTACTCATTATACCTATGGGATGTTAAATTCAAATAAATATTATACTTTTAAACTGCATAAAAAATAATTAAAACAATGGTACAATAGTAATTTTTCACATTTTGAAATTTAAAATACAGATTATACTTACAAGCTTAAGTATTGTTAGAGTTAGTTTGTTGTTAGGTGAGATATGCTACAGAAATAAAATAATTCAAGTTGTGTTAAGTGTATCTAAGGTTCCCAATAACGTGTTAGTATTTTAAAAAACTGAAATGTTTAAGTTCATATAAGACAGATTTGCACGTATATATTGGATTCTGAGTAGAGAAAAAGAAAGTATTGATTTTACAATGATGTGTGTTTTTCTGTCTGTCTGTTATCCCTTTTTTAAAAATTACACTACTAAATATAAGTAAGCATAAGTAGGTATTTCAATAAAAACTTATACTTTATTTTTGTAAAATATTCTATATAAAATTTAAATCTAACTAAAATTTTTGTTTTTTTCTTTTAGATACGTTTTAATGATATTGACCTCGATTCATCATGTGATAATAACTATGTTATGTTACACGATGGACCAAGTCCTGAAAGTCCAGTATTGGGTAAATTCTGTGGTAACGTTTTGCCGGAAAATCTAGTAGCTACTTCAAACGAGCTATTTGTAGTATTTTCATCTGAAAATGGAAAAAGTGACAGGAAAGGGTTCAATTTAACTTTAGAATCTAGACAAAATAGCTGTGGAAATATGTATGCAACGAAAGAAGGTGAAATATTTTCTAGAAATTATCCAAACTTATATCCAAACAACGAAGAGTGCGAGTGGATTATAGCGGTGTTGCCAGGCAACAGAATTGGTTTGCAATTTGTGGAACGTTTCAATTTGGAACAAAGTGTAAATTGTACTAAAGACTATATTCAGGTAAGACATTATGTGCATAAGAATGTAAATGTATTTTGTATATCTATATGTATTATGTATTCATGTGGTATATCTTATCTGGGTTATTGTATATTATTATTAATAATTTTAAAAGAAAATTAAACTTGAATCAGAACTTTTTATCATCCCCATATAGGTAAAAAATAAATTTGAAATTTTGAAAAAGTGAATCTTTTTTATTTATAATAAAATAGGTTTACAATTTTATTAATGATATTTGGATGCCACTTGGAAGTCGATTGTGTGGTCGTGAAATTCCACCTCAGTTTAAATCGTCCGAAACAAAACTCAAAATTCGTCTACGGACTGATGGTGATACACAAGGCGATGGATTTAAAGTAAATCTTTATTATAATCATATTCATAGAATAAGGTTTTCTAAATAATTATCTAATTATCTAGGCCAAGTGGAGTAGTTTATGTGGTGGAGTTTTTACTCAAAATTCCGGTAAAATTATTTCCCCAAACTATCCAAAACATTATCCCAACAACTTGGAATGTAACTATACGATATCTGTTCCCGGAGAAGAAATACAATTGACTTTTAATTCGTTCGAACTGGAAGGTAACTTATTATTGAATATTATAATTTATCGTTATAATATTTGCTATTTATAATATTATTTTCATATTTATTAAAAACAGATGTTAATAAATATTTTTTAAAAAACTTCCTTAATCTTTACCCTATGCTGCATAGTGGATAACAGATGTTGAGTTTCTGAGTCTGTCATGAATATAATGGATTTATTAAATGTGAAATCAATCATTCGTTGTACACAAAAAAATATTTCTGTATAGAGACGATGTGTTATATTCTATTTCTAAGGATATCTTATATTATATCCAGGAATGGATTCGCCCCAAAATATGTACCGGGAAATTATATTGTTTGCTAGCCCCACTTTTTTCAACCAGCCACTACTATAATTTTTTCTGCTTTTTTTTATCGATTTCAATTGATATAAATTCCATAAAAAATGATTGAAATCATTTTTCTTTTATCAAGATTACCTTGGACTCGTGGTCCAATATAGCTGCAGTCATCCCTTGAATTTTCCAGGTCATCTGATGGGCTAGTCTAACCTTGGTTATTTTATTTATATTATCTTCAGTATTTCCTTAGTTCAATTAAACGATTTCACATGCCATTAAATAATATTACTAAATTAATAAAGGCATTCCGTTAAATGGAGTAAAAATGATTATGTTTTTATGAATGTGCAGATGATGGATGTCTTTTTGACAATTTAACAATATATAACACTGCAGGAGTGTTTGACGCTCAAACAAATGATTTAGTTGGCACGTATTGTGGGACTAACGTACCACATCCAATGACGTTTAAGGATAGTGTCATAATGATATTCAAGACAGACTATTATTTTACCGATAATGGATTCGAAATACAATATGCAGTTAAAAGTAAAAAAACAGACATAATATTTGATTTTCAAAACTGTTCACTTTGTGTACAGTATGCAAGCCTACACGCACAATTAATATTTTAATTATTTGTGTTACCTATTATTTGATGTGTTATTTACCAATATGTGACCTGCCAAATGAAATATGTGGTATATCTACCAATGCACTATTTTATACCGTAATAATATTACAAGTATAGTATATGGTCTACAATATAAATGTAATTAATGTCACTGACTTTACATGAAATAAAATAAGTAGGTAATTAATCAGTCAATAAAAATATTTAAATGTTTATATATTATTATTTATAACTGTGTAATTAAACTTGATTCTTTAGTTGAGAATAAACTATGAAACTCTTTTACAACTATTTTAAGATGTTAATTGAAAAGTTGTATAAACAATAAATATATTATAATTCCGTTTCAAATGATAATAATATACCAGTTTCAAGCAGATGAAATGTCGGCAGCGAAAACAAGGACCCCCCCTTTTCCCATTCGCCGCTTGCTTCGGCTATAGATCTTTTACTTAGTACACGTGTTAAAGAGGAGAAAATGTCTTTAATTATTTAGGAACATGAACTAAAAGTCCCGAAGTATATACACCGAATATAAAACGGTCATTTGGTAATCATCCGAAAGGTGGTCAGGTACATCATACATGTTATTCTCGGACAAAAACCAGACGCCGTCCAATACAATATTCTATTTTGAAACGGAGTTATAGTTATAGGGAACTATACAATAAAAGATTTTTATTATTGTGTTTACAAAGACATTATAGCTCTTGACTATAATAATCAGAATAACTTTGATAACAATTTGGTTTAGATTTGTTTTTAAAATGTTCTACCTTCTACTTTTTAGAATTATCTACTTTTTTATCCCTTTTAGTTTTATAGTGGACTACGAAAACAAAAACGATACAAGACAGGCGAGTCCTCAGAAAAGTGGAGCAAAGGGGCATTTCCCCACCCCTTTTTGAAAACTGTCTAGGGACGCCCCTAATACCAAATATATAGAATTAATTAAAAAGTTTAGTTCATCGAGTGTAATGAAAATTGTTATACTTATTTGTTCAGCGTGTGGAAGAGAAATTACAAGTCCAGGGATTCTTAAATCCCCAATAATTATTAACCCACTATTTGGCACTCAAGAATACCCGGAAGACGTAAACTGCACATGGAATATACGAGCTCCCCCAGACCAAGTGGTACAGATAGTGTATGTTTACTTATTAATTTTATTAATGTTTAGTTAAAATCATTTTTTAATTGAGTGTGTTTCACAGATTCACCAAATTTCAATTGGAAACTTCATCTTATGATTTTTCTTCTAATAAAATTTCAAAAAATTGTCCATATGATTATGTCGTTGTTATTGACGAGTCTGATTTAAAAAATAACAATTCTCAAGATTTCGGTATTTTTTGTGGAGTTTTGGATACACAGTTACCAGCATTTTTGTCTAAAACAAATTCTGTGTATGTACAATTTGTTAGTGATTCTTCAAGGAGTGGTGAAGGATTTGAGGCTGAAATAACATTCACTTATGGTACAGTTGTATATTTCATAACTGTTTATTATAATTACTTACAGTTATCTTAGAACTTTTTAATTATTGATGCTCAAATAATGAGTAAAATCATAAAGCCATTTGGTAGTATTTAAATATCATAATATATTGATACCGACGAACCTGGATACATTTTTATATTTTCTTTAAAAATAAGAAACGCGTGCTGCCGTGACCAGTTTTCGTCGCCGAAAGTCAGGCAACACCCGTTTGCCATTTACAATGAGTCCACCAATCGATATATCTGCCATGTAGTATTGCCGACCCCTGCATAGTAGCTGGCCGTTGTATGCGTTTTCTTATTTTGATTTGAGAATAATTAAATTTTAAAATTAAATCGAGTTTATATTATGTGATATTCATTAACCCAATTGTATAAGAATTAATTCACTTTCTATATTTAAACATTGGTAATTTTATTTTTAATTATCTGGATCTTTTATATAGGTACTATAAACTGTAAGAACACATGCATTGGTTCTCAAAAAATATAATATAGTGTCAATGTGTCATAGTTTCACCGTATAGTATGGTTCATAAGCCTTAAGCTTAAATTACTTTTTTAAAACGGGAACATTTTAGGTCCTAGTCAAAATATCCAGCTCAAGTTGTAAGCATTTGTAAGCAAAAATTTTAAATTTGTAAATAATTTCTCCCTTAAGGGCTTAATTAGCCCTAAAAAGAAGTAGGCCAAATTTTATACAGCTTTTTCAACAAATATCTTCTTGCTTACAAATACTCACAAATTGCTTTGGACATTTTGACTCAGTCGAAAACTTTGAAATGATAAAACGACCAAGTTTCGCAGAAGTTAGCCGTGATTTAAGCTTTTGTAGATAATTTAAAACGGCTTAACTTATAAATTCCCAATTTGTGCTTACAAGAACTTATAAATAACTTACAAATTGTTGACAAAATTTGGTACAAAAATATTCACGTTACGCGGCTAACTTCACGGAAGTGAACATATTTCTTAAACTACAGTAATATCATTTTTACTAGATTGAATGATACAAAATAAATGTCAAAAATATTTACTAAAAATAGTGATTTTATAATACGTATTTATAATTTTGATATTAAAGACTATGGGTAAACTTAAACACTATCATAAAAACAGTTTTTACTCACAATCTTTTTTTCGAAACAATGATTTATAATAGGTGCAATGTATCTGGTACATATTATAATAAATTATAATTTATAATATACATACTTACATTATGTTTATTAATTTTAGGTGAATCTCATGGATGTGGAGGTACTATACGGTTAAACCAATCAAACAACATGTCCAGCTATACATTGAACAATTTGAATATTTCTGAGAAAACCTATTTAGATTGTGGGTGGTTAGTATTGGTAGAGCCGTCATATGTAGTACAGATGCAAGTGGTCAGGTACACAGAAACACCTAAATGTTCATCGAACGTTACAAATTGTGTATGCAGTTCTGTTCAGGTAACAATACTATTAAAACTCTAACTCGACATTTATTTTTTATGTGGCACTCAGTACGTTTATGAATAAAACATTATGACTTTTGAATATTTTATTTTAATTATATTATTTAGAATTTCAGCTGAGCGGGACATTGAATGTTATATTGGTCTTAAAATTGTGTGTTTTTTATTCTCCAGCGCCACTAGATTGTGGCCTACGATGTTCCATGTGAAAAATAAGCCGTAAAAATAAATTATTTTAGCTGTATAAAGTGTTTATATCATATTGTACTGCACAAAGTAAACTGAACATATTAGGTGCGATCAATGCCGTACTTATTTATTTGGCAAGACCAATATTATTGTTGTGCACTAACATAGTAACATCTCACAGTATTATATAATATCTCCGTAAAATTCTTGTAAAGGAAAGAATTACAGTATTGAGTGAAGACACTTATTATTTTCGGTTTATTTAGCTCAATGCAATAGTATGATATCACAACATCATTGTGCTAAAATATTTTTTTTATACTTCAAATTTTTTTACATGGTAAATTGTGGAGGGTTTTTGTTTTAATAAAACGACACAGTTTGAAATTTAAAACAAAATTTTGCATTTAACTATTGCTGTTAATAATTTAAGATAAACGGTCTATATATTTTAGTTTTATGATGGCCCGGGACGTTCAGCTTTAAAAATTCGTCAATACTGCCCCGGAAATATTGACTATTCTCCATTATTGTCTTCTGGTAGTAATGCATTTATTAGATACTCAAGCATTCCATCGGACGTAAACACACATTTTGAAATAAAGATAACACCAGTGACATGTATATTAGCAAATATTTAAAAATAAAATAAAATATTTCAATACATAAATTTTTTTATTTGAACAGCGGTTTGTGGCCCAAGTGCATTGATTGCAACCAACCAAACACAAGTACTAACGTCTACAAATTATCCATTACCATATAATATGAACAATTTGATTTGCAAGTGGTACATACAAATGGAATCTGAATCTGAGGACCAATCTCTTATGTTACGGTTCAAGGATTTGAATTTGGCGGACACAAAAGACTGTTCGTCAAACTATTTGGAAATAAAGTACACGCCGGTGAATATTCCATTATTTAATGTTTAGTAGAAAATAAAAGTTAGGTATTTGGAAAGCGAATAATTAAAGCTGATGAGCCTGAAAAACTAAAAATTTATATTTTATTCTGTATATAATATAAACTTAACTCTAAAGTATTCAAAAATATAATATAATGTTTACCCAATAAATTTAAGTATTAAAAAATGTATATATATTATAATGTGCATATTATATTTAGTGGCCGCAATGGTCGTACAGTACTTTCCGTGTATGTCACGAAGACCATGAATTTGATTTTGTGAGTCGGCCATCGAAAATGTTTACATTGACGCTACGTACAGAAGTCGACCAAAAAACACCAAAAGGCTTTAGACTCGAGTATATAACTACAAGTATGTATTTACAGCATTTTAGAATATTAAATTTGTACTTAATACGCATAAATTATTCGTAAGACCGATTTCATAGTAATCATACTTGATGTATTAACAATTTAATTCAATCATAGGTTGCTCAACAACACATACAAAACGCTATGGATATATTTTACAATCATATGATCCAAAAATGTCGACGGGAGGAGAATGCATATTCACGATAAACTTAGGTCAATCAAATTTAACCATTTCTTTATTTATTACATCGTTTCTTTTTACGGGGCCAAGGAAATTATATTTGTCAAATTACCTAAAGGTAAATTAGGTGTTAATTATGATCGTCGGATCCAAATATGTAACAAACCCATTTTTACTTTAGGTTTATGATGGGCCAACAGTCTCTTCACCACTGCTAACCACTTTGAACGATAATTTTAAAACCCCATATCCTGTGTTTTCAACGGGTCCGTCGTTGACGATGGCGTATAAAACAATCAATTGGCTAGGGTTGTTGGATATGAGTTACACATCTACGGATCAAGGTAGAATTAGTGCATTATCTGCATTATACGTGGTTCCTAAATTGTGTATTTTACTGGCGTGTATCGAATACGAATATAGGTAGAGGTTGCGGTGGAAAAATGTTCAATATGGATGGTACGATAATGAGTCCAATGTATCCTATGGTGTACAACAAGAACTCAACTTGCAGGTGGGATATCGCGGTTCCAAGACCAAATCCAATCACGATTCAGTTTGGAGGTGTGTACGATAATGATAATAGATTTTAACATGAAACTATAATAATCCCTAAAAAAATTAGCTTTTATTTAACATTTTTTTTTTTTTACAAGTAACCTATCCATAAATTAAATATTATTTTGGAAAACAAATTTAATTCATCATAATATATATATATTTTTTGTCATAATGTAAGGTTTACATAACCTCATTATTTTCAAAATTTAATTTTGTCTATAAAATGTAACATAAATAAACGGAAAAATTGTCAAGTCTCTAAGTACCAAGCAAACAAAATATGTATTGTCGAAAACGGTTATATACTTCCATGTAAACATTTCCGTTTATTAATAATTTTTATTTTGTTTTTTTTTTCAATTTTCTTGAAAATTACTAGAAAACATATATTTTTATACTATTTTCTGATGGAACTATAACTAAGAGTGGGAGATTTGAGCATTTGTTATGCTGGAAAAATGTATGTTTATTATTAAAAAAGCGGGTAAGTGGATGTCAACTGTACATTAGGCGTCTGAGAGGTCGCTGTAATGGATAGTATTCAATTAAAATGTAATGATAATATCATATTTATTCTATACGAAAAACGATTCTGAGCGGAGACGACATATGTCAGTCTAGGATATTTTATATTGTTATAACTTATTATTAATATGGTAGCCGGTTAAATTGAATTGATATTATTCTTAAACTATCGCAGTGATGCTGGAAAATTATTAAATATAAATATGTAAAATTAGGCTGTTTTGGAACCAAATTACAACAAAATGATAAACGTTATTCTTTGTGTCAATATGCAATTTTCTCCAAAACTGAACTTTAAATGTCTGTAAAATATAACTGCATTAATATATTTTTTTAGATGATTTCTTAGTTAAGTTTAAACTGGTTAAGTGGAATATTGTTTTAAATTTCCAATACTTAGCAATAAAAATTGAAAATGTCATACATTTTTAAATACAAAATTATTTTAAATTTTAAATTTGATAAATATTGTCAAAATTTGAACTTTAAATGCTTATACAAAAATACTGTCTGTATGTATTTTTTAATATTTTTCAACTGCTATAATAAAAATATATCAGGAGTTTTGTATTACATTTGCATGCCTTTTGAACTAACCAATAGAAATAAAATGAAATTTAATTGAAATTTATGGAAAAAAAAAATGAAAATTGAATATGTCCTTCAACAGCTTAAAACGAGATTAAAATATTTTGAAAAATTGATCAAGTATATGAATTGATGAAATAGACGTATGGTGTAAATTTCAAGTCCCTACAATAAATCGTTTTTGAATTACAATAAAATAAGAAAATCGCTACCTGATAAATCTAGTGTAATCCAATTGTTGTAAACATTTCAATTTAAAACAATCATAAAAATTCAATTTGACTTTCCGGTATACATTTAAAAAAAAAAGATATAAACGATATAAAATGAAAAAGTTGTATGAATTTCCAACTAAATATAATTTGACAATTTTCGTGATTTTTACAAATTTTGTCAAAATTCTAAGTTGAAACGCTCATAAAAAATTATTGTGAACTTATGCTCAACTTTTTTTCTTATTTCTATTCATAACAACTTACAAGGAACCTTGTATTGCATTTACAATTTTTATGAACGGGAGAAAATTTTTTTAACGACTTTAGCTTGTTGTTTGTTTTTCCTGTTGCTTTTAGAAACTATTGGGAATTTAATATTTTGACCTCCCATATGCACCAAAAAGATTCACTTTTCTACCAGAAGAGTTGGTGTCTAAGAAAATCGAAGTACTTTTACTACCCGAAACCATGATTACAGACACAAAACAATTAAAATTAAAAATAATAAATATAAATCACACATCACTGTAAAATCAATACATTCTTAGCTCCGCCCAGAATCTAAAATATATAAAATTAGGTAAAAAAATTAATTAAAATTATATAAAAACGAAAGTATATTCAAAAAATTAACCAATATAATTTGATATAGTTAAATTGTTTACCAAATCATTCTGTAGGTTATTTAATGACATTTTATAAAATGTCACTTTTTGGCGATAAATTATACAATTAAATTAAGTAACATAAGTTTACGTAAATGTGGTGTACTCCTCATTATTATTATATTCTGTGTTTCATGTCGATATGGTTTTATTTTTCAAAACTTAGCGTTTAACCTCGGTGCAAGGACGACATGCAACACCGATTATTTGGAAATGTACAACGTCGATCAGTCGACGGGAGAATCGTCGTTTGTTGCTAAATACTGCGGTGGAGTGAGTATATATTAGCTGTTAATATCATACAAAAATAAAATATGTAATTACATTTCGATAATTAACTGTTTTTATCGTATTTGTTCAGGATACTCCAGCTACGCACACCAGCCAAACGGGAGCAGTTTTCATTCGTTACGTGACAACCGTACACAACACCGGCACAGGTTGGGCATTGCGCTTTAATGAAAAAGGCTTTTTCTAGAACAATTTTATATTGTTTGTAGCTAACGAATTAAAAAAACAAAAAAAAAAACAACTAATAAACGTTTATTATTTTATGATATTTATTTTATTTTATTTGATGTTTATTGAATTGTATAATATGATCGTTTATTTTGGGTAAAACTATATAGTTTAAGTATTTAACGAGTCTTAGGTGCATTAGTTCATAGGCCTAAGATTCGTGTACATTTCTAGGACGTTGATTATACCCGAAGACCTGAACCCAAATTGTTCACTATGAATGATCATTTCCCCATGCAGTTCATCATCATTTCGTTTTTAACGAATATATTTATTATTTTCTAAGGCCAAATTTGAAATGTTACAACTTAGGTACCTATTGGTATAAGGAACGTTAGCAGTAATAGCTGGCAATTAAGGTATAGTTTAATAATTATAATTTATTTTGTATATCCAATTTTATATGATTTACGTATGCACTGTTAATAACTGGTAACAGCTTTCTAGTATAGTAGTATGTATACAATGTAATACTTATAAAAATAGGGATAGCATGCAGTACACGCAAGTGCAGAACTTGAAATACATGCGAAATTCAATAATAGACTTAAAAATGGTAATTAAATACAGTTTCAGGCTAAATGTTGACCAGATCTTTTAAAAATATTTATTATTTTCACGATTTTTGCTTTTGACATTATTATTTATAAGTATAATTACCCTTACACAATGGCTTCTATGATGACCTAATGGCAAAATAGTTAACGACTATAATGTTATCGTTATTTGATTCAACTAAAGATAAAAATCAACACCTTGGTCACATTTTATAACAATGAAATAAATATTAATTTTTACATTGTACTTACTGTTATACTATTATAAGTTACTTATGAGAGTACATAGTTATTAAAACATAATTATAATAACTCATAAATTATTATTGGAAAAAAATATAAAAACATTTTGTAATATAATATGTATAATGTATATGTATTATATAACAATTAATATAGGTATTATTGTATTAATATACTATTGTATTATATACTTGTAAACTACAACTAAACCATTGATCACCGAATTTTTTTTGCATATCTCTTGATGCTCTAGATATTTCTTTCCCTTTTACCAAATAGTAGCTCCCCGAATGATACTGTCATCACCAGCCTGGACACGGCCAACTCGACCCATGGACCAAGACATTGGAGGGGGGGGGGGGGTCCTCTTCTTTCACCAACACTATAGTACCGACCTTTATCTTGGAGCCTTTGTTAGCCAGCTACTTTCGCCTGGTTTGAAGTTGTGACAAGTACTCTTTATTCCAGCGTTGCCATAGTGTTTGAGTTAACTGGGTTACTCGCTGCCAACGTTTTAAGCGATTGTCCGATGTACCAGTTAAATCTGGTTCGGATAAAGAACAAGTAGACTCTCCAAATAAAAAGTGAGCTGGGGTTAATGGTGTCGTATCAGTAGGATCGGAGAAACAAGGAGTTAAAGGCCTAGAATTAAGGACTGCCACTGATTTAATTATATTCTAATTAAGATAGTATTCAACAAAATAGTTTAGTATTCAATATTTAATTCCTGATCGCGATGTAGAAAAGGTTAGGTTAGGTTAGGTTAGGTTAGGTTAATAGACAAGATAGATGATTAATATTTTATTTATATAATGTACGATGTAAAAATCTAAGAAATATTTCGATAGCATTTTCCATTTAATATTTAATTAATCGTTAACTGTAGTCTGTACTTCTTACTGGCTATACTACCTATAGTTTTAAATTAAAATTTGATTTTTTGTTTTTAATTACCAAAATTAAATTATTTCAAAAAAATTATTTCATGACATGTTAGAACAATTCCTGAAGTATCATATCCGTATTTTTCACTATGATAAATCATGTTCGCACGAAATTTTAATAATATTTAACTGTTTATAATATTACATCGTACCATATTCATCGCATTGATTTTAAGGGAAACTTTAATAGGATATTTTTTATACACAATAAAATGTAACAAAACTGTATAAATGTACATTTTCTGTCAAGTAGCATTTTTGAGAAAAAACTGGAAATCAAATTTACACACTTAAGTGGTTATGACTGTTAAGAGTTCTAGTATATTTGTAAGTACCCTAAAAAGAATGCGTGTGCCTAATTTCAAGACCATGGACATTTTTCCCTGTAAATATATTTAATTTCCAGAACTAATTATATACTGCATAGTAAGTAATAACAATTACATTATTCTGGAACAAATCCTAATGAAAATTTAAAATTAAATCGTGATGATCATATAAATAATAATACAATTGTTGAGACTAAACGTTATTTATACGTAGCTACAATACAAAGTGCTGATAATATAGAATACCAATCATAAACTTGTTTTGATGAACGACGTTTCCGACATAATATAACAGGGGTGACCAGGGGGATAAGTGAGTGGTGAGCCGCACAATATGTAATGAAAAATATGTAAGAGCCGAGAGTCGGGAAAATAAGATTCTCAATCATGTTCATAAATAAGATATCAATCGCGTAATGAAATGTGTAAATTGCGAAATAATAATATATAATTGAACATCAATATCAGATTAAATTTTTTCTTCGTAATATATAACACCCATGACGGACATTACCAATAGGGGTAATATTATTTTATTTGTAAAATCGTTTTGAGCTAGTCAGACGCGAACCGCATGCGTATACACTATACACACGACTACGCGAGGCAGTGTTTGGCCACCCCTGTGACATAATGATATTGATAATATGGATGTAATCCATTGCAGATATCGTTCACATGTTCAATGAGTTGTCTCTGTACATTCCTCTGACAAACTGTTCCTGTCCGAATCTCTGAGGCTTGCCGTGATAGCATTTCCTCACCGTGTGCACAGTCGGCGGGAAGTACCCGTAATCGTTGTAGGTAGTCGCGTAGAAAGGATTGGTTGGAGTTCGTCTGATTTCGCTGTAGTTCTGTAGACCTGTACACAGGGAGATACCATAATACAGTGCGGTTATACAGTGTAAAATAGTATTATTAATTCAATATAAAACATTTTGCCGTCCGGCGCATGTCTGGCGAATTTTTTTATTTGCGCCGTAAAGTCGTCGAAGGCCGAGTTTGAGTATGCCTATAGTATTACAGTAAGTTCTCGTTACAACGAATACCCGATACAATGAAAAATCCCGTTATAACGAAAGTCATAGAAGTTCCCTGCCGAAAAGCTATTAAAACAATGTTAAACTAATCTCAATATAACGAAATGATTTATTTTTAAAAATCCCGATACAGCGAACTATTTGTACAGCGTACAGGTTAAAATATATGTATTTTCCCTTCTTAATTCCTTTCTAAATATCCAACAATCTGAGTTAGAGCAAATTTGGATCACTGCAAAAAAGAAAACGTCGCTTCCTGACGACGTGAATTTAGAAGATTATCCCGGTGCTGATGACAACGTTTCAACATGTTATGAACTAACCGAAGTAGACGTTGTTAAATCCATTAAAGACAGCAAAGATGAGGCCACCGATGAAAGTAGTGGAGACGAAGGCGAAGAAGCTGTGATGGGAAATGATGTGCGCAATATCACTTCATCAGAAGCCTTATCAAGTTTGGAAGTAATGCGAACATTCATTACATCACAGAGTGATGTACCAGACTTCATCTTTACAAACATTCACTAACTACAAAATTATTTACTTTCTATTAAAACAGCAAACCTTGTTCAAAAGAAAATTGTTGATTATCTATAATTAATAAAGTTATTTATTTTTTCGAAATTATTTACATTTGAATTATTTATTTATTACACACATATTTGTATTTGAATTATACATATGTATGTACATAATGTTTTTGAGTTTGTTTTTATTCGAATTTTCAAAATTTCGTTACAACGAAATTTCCGTTATAACGAAAAAAAAAATTCGGTCCCTTGGAGTTCATTGTAACGAGAACTTACTGTATCAGTTATCACTAATCAACGGTGTAAATCAAATACGGATACGGCACCCTAGCGCGAGTCCGGTGTTGTTATTTTGCAAGTCAATAAGTGTTAATTACGAAAGCTGCGTTAGATTGGTTCAGTTTTTGGATAGACAATATCTGAATTTTTTTTCCCTTATAACGACGACCACTGCTTCTACTAAAATTTACCATAATACATACGTTTTACGTGTTTGCAGTTGAGATATGAAATAATATGTATACTTCATTCAAAAAATACAAAATAAAATAATCACAATTTGTATCGACATAACGTGATTCGTGGACACCACAAACTGCCAAAGCAATACTTGGAATTTGCAAAAAAAAACATGTCCGGTACACATAAATCCTAGCCCTAGTCATAATATTCATGCCATATAGTACCCGATACCGCGTATGCAGTGCATAACATTAATATTACTTACCTGGATATTCGAAACGAACGGGTAAATTATAGGTTTTGTAAAAGTCCGATGTTTTTTCCGGCGCGTCGCCTGAACGACCGTCTCCGCCGTCCATGTTGGAAAAACTAACCAGCTCGCCGTGTCGCGCACCATAAAGAGCTTACCGCATAAAATTAATTTTAAAATATTGATCTAACTAAACACATAGCTGCTACCCTCTAGAAAATACCCATCACGGAAACCACCATCGCACTAAATGTGTACCTATACTTATTTTATCAATCTCTAGTTACGATAACGCTAAAAAAAAAAAAAACGCTACGATACAGAACATATTATCTTCTCTATTGCAGTACACACTTTTGGTGTCTACTATGACTACATCATCCTGAGTGCTTTTATCCCGGGCTTAACAGTTATTACAATGTTGTACATTTGTAAGACAAAGACAACACATATCTGGAGTAGCGTCCTCTTAAGATAAACAGTTAATCATAAGTCAAATATTAAGACATAATATTAATTAACGCAACATACTTAACTATTTTATTATCAAATTAATCTATTCTGGTATACGCCCTTATTTTACATTACACTATCGAATACCTATAGGTAATTATGCAGACATTTATATATTCATTCATTTTCGTACCAGCGATGAGCTCAAAAACTGTGCATTTTACACGGAATTATTTCAATGTAGGTACTTACAATTTGTAACTAATTGATATTATATTTAATTGATGATTTTGGAAATTTAATTGTGTGTGATGTAGCTGGTTAACTTGGATTGGTTAAAGTGCAGTCCAAAAGTACCCTCCACATTATTTATTTGACTGCAGTTAGTGGTAAGTACTAAGTACGAATAGTAAATATTATTATAACACACCTGCTTGCATATACTGTATTCCTTTTAATATTGCACCAACTATTATTTACAAGTTTTTAAATATTGGCGAAAGTCTGAAATTATATTTCAATTTGCCAAGATAGGTTTAATGTGCTCCAAATTTCACCTATTAAATTTTATAAAAATGGATATGAAAGAGTAGGTATCCTCAAAAATTTAAAAACTCGAAAATCAAATCTACATAATACTATTATTGATTTTCACACTAGAATTATTGGAAACTCTAGTAACCTAACCTTGTCAGTTGTCGCCTTTAAATTTTCTTTATAAGTCAATATAAAAACATTAAAAACTAACAAAACTATACGTGAATTTCAGATATTACACACTTGTAAATTGGAGACACAACATAATGATGTATTAGGTATAACATAATATAATAACTATCATGTACGCACTGTAGTAATTATCGAGTTATAATAGTTAATACTAAGAACATCCATTGAAAAAAAAAATATATGATATGGATTGAGATTTTGGACAAAATTTACTAAAACTATAATTGTAAACTCCATTTTGTTAACAGTGTTTGAACATCGAAGAGACAGTAGTGTAGCTGGTTTGAACAACTCTCAATAATATAAACAGTTAGTAATCTGTATTCCGGAAAACATCAGCTCAACAAATCGTAATGAATGTACTTGTTTATCTATGAACAACATTTTTAAACCTCATTTACCTTCTTTAAATTATAGAGTTAATCATGAGATAAAAAAATAAAATTATTAGTAAATAATATAATTTTACTGGGCCGTTTGTCATTTAAATATTACACTAACGTTAACGTTACTATAGATTGCAATACACTCACATATCACAATGAATAATAGTTTCCCGGAAATATTTAAAATAATAGATATGGACCACAGTGGTCAAAAGAAAAAATTTGTCTTCCAAGAAATACCAGAACATTATTATGATGAAATTATGAATAAACTCATATATGAATATTGGTCAGATGAAATTACATACCGTAGTCTTAACGTAATAAATGACCCAGTCTCTGCATTAGATATTAAAAATACGTTTAAAAAATATTTAGCCCATAAAATGTCAATTGGTGTATTTGAATGTAAAGAAAACGATGAGAATAAATTAATAGGCCTTAATATTTTATTTCGTGAGAATATAAATTCAATAAATATTTCTAATTTAAATTCAAATTATTACGAACGAATAACTAATTGCATATACACCTTTAAAAAAAGTTATGTCGAACAATTAATTGGCAATGAAGATTATCTTGCATCAGAAATGTTATTTGTTTGTAAAGATTACCGCAAACTTGGCTTAGCTCGACAGCTGTTGGAATTGAGAAATTATGTCGGAAAAAAACATAATTTTAAATATACAATCAGTATGTTTACTAGTCCCACTGCTCAAAAATTAGCTGAAAATGAGGGTTTTAAAAAAAAGTGTATACTTAATTATAATGATGTACGTATGGTTGATAATGAAAAAAATAATCCATTGTCTTTATTACGCGATAAAACATTAACGTGTATGATTAAATATATTTTATAATATATCTATCATCTAAAATGTTTTGATAAAAATATAAAATATTTCGAAGGTATAGGTAGATCATAAATCTATATTCTAAAATATTAATATCTAGAAATTATGAAAATTAATTAAGAATAAAATGTATACGATTACAATTATTATAATATATTAATAAGCAATTAAAACAAATTTAAAACAAATAATTATATAATTATATTATAATGGAATTATATCCAAAATAGAATATAATTAATGGAATTGTATGTATACAATATAATAGGTATATAGTATTTATTTATATAAAAATAAATATTTTAAAGGAAATTATTTAGAAAAAAGACTAGTTGGATAATTATAAATATCACTCCATAATTAAATTTCTAAACCTCCACAATTATTACACAATACACAATAATTATATTTATTTGGAAATGTTGTACTTTTTATTTGTAAAAAATATCAACCTATTAAATTTTTAGACCTATGTACATTTTTTTTTTGCGAAACCTCTTTTTTTTTGTGAACTGTGATATATATCAAATAAACTTATTTTACAAAATAATTTCGTCTTTTAGTCTTGAATAAATCATTGATTTTTATGATATAGTGAAAAAAATAACACGCTGTATCGTGTCCATAATCATACTTTTTTTGGGACTTAATCCATTTTAGTATATTAAGCACCCAATAAAGTAATAACTGAAGAATTCCTTTAAATATTATGAATTGTTCATTTAATATTATGTTGTTTATAAATCATAATTAAATTAAATTGAAGTAAAATATAACTAAATAAATAATTATATTATGAAAAACTATTTTATTATTGTACGCACTTTTGAATTGATGTTTTCCAATGAGTACAACTTGAGTGTTCGCGCCGAGCAATAAAATTATCGCTGCTTATCGCGCGACATCTTACTCCTCGTCTATCCACCATTCTGTCCTGTAACTTGTTTTATATGATTGTATAATTGTTATTTAATGTATGCTCTTTGTTTTGTCTTTTGTGTTATAATCATTGTTCGTTCGTTGGTCTCGCCATTATCAATGTTATTGTTTTGATTTTCGTGATATCTTTAATGCGGCCAACGCCCTATTATTATTACTATTATTATTATCTTTTTTCGTATTATTATTGGCGTCGCACTGACTACTAGCTGCGGCCGCCCTGTTCTTTTCGTTACCTTATTTTAACTTGTTGATCTGCTATTAAAGCGATCATCCGTTTTTTACTATGTATCATTATGTGTAACCCGCTAATAAAGCGAGCACCAATTATGTATCATCACTCAATCAGATATAATTTGAACTGATCAATTATTGAGTCGTAAGTTTTTATTTATTTTATTATCGCTGCCGTCAAACTCGGCATTCTGTATTATTATCACCATCGAACGTGGTGTCTCATCTGTCTGTAGCGAGCTGTGACTATGTTTAAATATTATAAATAATCACTCCAGTGAATCCCTCGGGTAGTTTTAAATAAACATGTGATTGACACGATGTCAATCAAAGAATAAGAAGAACTCCATATATATATATATATATATTAGTTGCAGGAGGCCTACGAAGTACCATCAATAATTGCACGTGACCTCCAAACGTATGTGTTCATAGATATATCACTACTCATATGAATATTATTAAAATAGTTCACATTAAAAGCATTAACAGCGTTGTGTGGTCACAGAGATGACAACGACCAGATAGGCAAGGGACATCCGGTGAGTGCAGCACGTGGCCGCCCACGGTATGACCTTATATGGTAAAAGTAGTAGGGTACTCAGCAGGGATACGATCCAAGTATAGCCATTATAATACGTCACTCGAATGGGCTTCGGCAGACGGACCAACACCAACGACGAGCTAGGAGCTAGGATATGACAGTCACATCTCGCTAGTCTCCATTATTTAATATAGTCACTTTGGACTTAGTAAATTTATTGTTATTAATCAAATAAAAGTATTCAATTATAAAGAAAAAACAAACTCTTCTTCATTTATTTTTCAACACCATCAAACGGACGTAGTCGGTTTGTTACATGTCCACTTCCGTTCGACGGATTCTTCGCGTAAGTCAATTTTAGTAAGCAACATTACGTTGTGTGAGAGGCCGCCCAGGTCGTCCAGTTCGACGTCAGCCTACTGCATCCGCCGTCCGCTTCCGGTCCAGTACATCGGCATCTCAAGTCTCCAGTAGATTTAAGCTAATTTAAGTACTGTCCCTGTTTTTTGTGAGCTCTGTGGTCATTGCACCAGACCGAATCGACCACAGAGACCCCCCTCCCCATAACTAGCTTGCACCATCCTTATTCCTGTGGTAGGGATCTCCCATCCCGATCGTCGTCGTTCGTGCGTAGAATTGCCTAACGTACACACATTCAGGCGAAGGCACCTATAGTTGCCTACCCACCCAAATAGTCGGCGCTAGTGGTGGCGTTGGCCACAATTATTAATATTTAGTTCTCGGGCGTTCCCCGAGTGGTCCTTCGGGTTGCCCCTATTCAGGGCGCATACACACAAAAATCGTAAGTAAGGAGGGCTCGAAAACGTTTACATAACGTTATGATTATAACGTTATCCTAGTAAAAACAACGATTGAAATAGATAACAGAAAACAAAACGGTAAACGGTAATATTAAATTATCATGAAACAAAACATAGCAATAAACGACTATTTAAGTAAAACAAAAAACAAAACAAAACGATAAACCAATAACTTAAAATATCATAAAACGAAACATAACAAAAAACACAACAAATCGTAAATTGATAAACGATCATTAAACGTTATATTTTATTTTCATTATTTTTACGTTGTTACGTAGTAACAATTAAATTATTGTCTACCACTACTGGTATACGGTGTGCAGATATCTGCTAAGTATATTATTCTATTATATATTAAAAATCTATAGACTTAGAAAAACTACAGTTTGTTGTTAAAAATAAAATGAGGAAAATAATTTAATAATTTGTTTTAAAATTTAAAAATGTCATTTTATAATAATATACGTTATTTAAGCACAGTATTGGTATTAAGTTGTATGAAATAAATAGGTACTTAATTATTACTATATAGGACATAGGTATAGTATATTATGTATGCATTATAATTTATAACTGTTTATATAATTTTTTTTAAATATACCTGGTTGGTTTAATTCTTCGCCTATAATTTTCCAAGTACGATCTTTCCAAGTGCTATCGCTATATTTTTTATCACTAAGATCGTAGAGCCCAGAGTGTGCTCGCACACATTCAATTAATTTTTCAGCGTTCATTTAAAATTTTAAGACTATAGTGAAAAACTGACAACTGATAGTAATACTGAAGTACTGCACTTGGTAACTGAACTGTAGTGTAGTAACTGAACTAATAAGTAATATTTATAGCAAAATGCGAAAACAAAATGTGATTCTATATTTCTATCCATATCCGACCCGGCCACACATTCCCACTACAACGATTCAAAGAAAAACTCGGACGGATACCCGTGAAAGAATCGTCGCGAAGAATATTTCAAACGCCCGTCCACGGCCCGTTTCCCCGTTCTGTCGTCGCTCCGGACTAATTTGAACGTTTATATTTAAAAATACAGGAACAATATTTTTTCCAGGCACGGACGGGTTCCGGACGGATTCCGGTCCGTCGTAGTGTGAATAGACCTTTAGATTGAAATAAAAAAAAAAACACTCAACTTAAGTCTTGGGGGGGGGGG